ACATTCAGAATATATGAAAAATACAAAACAGTTGAATGATACTTTCTGTTGGCAACCATGTTAATCATGATAACTAGAAATTTATAACTAACCCTGAATCTAAAACCGAATTAGGAAAAACAAATGATTTGAGTGGATAATCATCTCTAAGCTACTTTTAACTTATAGTTGCTTTGATCATCACCCAAGTACATAAAATATCACGTGGTGTGCTACTTATCCAATTAATCGATTATAACAACTAGCGACGCACATGAATATAAAACTTTATATTTCTTCTACAAGTAGCCTAGTTTACATTTCGTGTTTAGATATTTCGTATATTTGAAGAACGTCGGATTTTAAATTATAGATAGCGACAAGCTCGTTATGATATACACTAACGGACCACAACATTTTCACCACTAATACTTCTGAATTCACCAACCCAACTAAATGTATAATCACGACTGTTTCCTTGTATTTATGTTTGTATCATAATATAAAACGCAAATAAAAAAACAACGAAATTAAACAAAGAAACAATTAGTGGTTTTATCTCTTTGTTTTGTTTCTCCGTAAGTACTATATTATTCCCTTCTTGAGGAAAGATCAGTTCCATTGTACTCCTCTATCAAGGAGAGAACCTTTCCATCGTCTTCCCTATCTTTGAGAAGGGTCGTACGTAGTCTCGGGATCTTCGCCGGGAATCCATAAGAATTTCCTTACCATCTTGTCTTCTTATGTTTTGGTCCGTACGAGACTAGAAGAAGCATTTGGACTCGTTTCGACGAATACCGAAGGTAGAAATTCGTTTTCAACGTCACATTTGAAAGTGACTAACTTCAAACGCTCTAGTTTCGCCGTGGAGACTCTTTTGACGCATTTGAAACATGTCTCAGATTCGCTGTCCATCTGTCAAAATGATCTATCTGCTATATGTTATATTGCCTTTAACTCTTGTCGTAGTAATTTAAGAAGATGCTTCATTCCCTATTCCCTTTCTTTGTAATTCGAAAATTTAATTAATGAATTAAGGGTTGCAAAAAAGTACTATATTATTCTTTTGGGTGCTGGAAACGTGCATTTTATTTGGGATTTGTTTAAACGTGAAGGAATCTAAAAAGTATTAATTTGGAAAATGCATGCATTGTAAATCTAAAATCATTTCCTTTTTAAAAAAAAACAAAAAAAATCTAAAATTATTACTTATTGAACATGTACTTACATGACCCTTTGCTTATAACTCATTGATCACGATCACATGTCGATCCTAATCCAACGGTACAATTCATTAAATAATAAAAAAAAATAATACCAGAAATTGTAATATTGAAATCATTTTATTAGAATAAGATTAATCGAGTCTTTTGGAATTTAGAATTATGTGGAACATGAAAAAGGTTAGTTAGTCAGTTAAAAGGATTATTTGCAAATTAAGATCGATAACGTTCACTAATAGTGATATTGTTTTTCTCGTTTGCGATTTTGACGTATATAATGTTTTAGCAGAAATGTGAGAAATTATCAGAAATTGTGCAAAATTGTGAGAAATCAGCCTCGGTTTTGTAATGGGCTATTTGGTGTATAACCAAAAAAAAATTAATTTAAAAGTAAGTAAAATAGGGTATGTGGCAAAATCATGACCATTAAATATGGAGTTTTTGGTTAGATTTTAGATTATAATTTTTCTTTGTGTTATTTTTGCCAATTTTCTTTGTAATTATGCGTCTTGAGTAAATTTTGATTGCTATTTGTTTTCTTTTTAAAATTTTTTTTTGTTGTGAATCCAATTTTTAGTTTTAACAATTCGTTCACATAACAATTTGTAATACCTAAATTTGTTTACAATATTTTTAACAAAAAAAAAACAATGAAACGTTCATACTTATATAAATCATATTTAAATAAAATATTTAGAAACTGATACATTGCACAACGGCAATAGTTCAGCGCGTGTTTTGCATCCGTAAATATGGATGGCTGAATTTTCGTTCTCTTTCGGACAAAGTGAAATCTCGGAATCTGGTTGACAGTGTTGCAATGGTCTCTCGACCATAGCAGATGCAGCTTCCATCGGCTCAATCACAAGCAGATTGAAATCTGTGGTTGAACAGATGGAGTCTGTTCATGATTCATAGTTGGTGATTGAAACATCAGAAATCGTGAGGTCACAGGAGCTTGATTCCATAATTGTGAATTTGTTTGACACTGTCGCAATGGTCTCTTGAATACAGCAGATGCAGCTTCCATCGGCTCACGCGAAGACAATAACATGTGCAATCACAAACGTATTGAAATTTGTGGTTGAACAGATGGAGTTTGTTCATGATTCAAAACTGGCGATTGCCAAATTAGAAATCGTGAACTCATAAGAGCTTGATTCCATTATTGTGAACCAAAACATGGAAAATTTTCGTGCCGAGGTTGATAAGATGCATATCGAGATGATTTTTGATTACAAAATCAAGCTCCATGAGATTGAGCATAAGGTTTGCAGTGACACAACTAAATTTCAAGAGGTTTACCATTCGACGAAAGCTGAGTTGGAAAGTATGAAGTTTACGTTTATGAAGTACGCAATCGAGACACTCGTGTCTGTTGGATCCCTCGGAATTATTGTATATTTTAGGAGCATGTAATAGGATGATCTATGATTGACGTGTAAATAGGTTGAGAGTTGTGTAAATCTCTTGTAGTAACTTCGGTTTGTATTATTTGAGGAGGAGCATGTGAGACAGTGATTAACCACCTCTGCTGCCTTCTCACCAAACCAGAGTTCAAGTCTGGGAGTCTTCTTCAAAGAAGTTTAGAGGACTAGTGGACCATTCCGTTGTGGTCCACCAATGTTAAAAAATTATAGTTTAGTCGGAAAAAAAAACCCAACCATCTTTTTTAAAATAAAAAAAGTATTAGCTGGAAATTAAATTTAAAATTTATAGTTCAAGCAATTTGCTAAACTTCAATTCAATTATAAAAGCTTGTACGTAATCAGATTTGTTACTTGGTAGCTAATACAACTTCTAAACTATTAGTAATTTGTAATAAATTAACTCATTATCACATAAAACACAAAAAAGACATCTCATACTTTTTCAAAATACCGTTGGACGTTGGATTTAAAAACATGGACGGTTCAGATGCAAATTAGTGGATCCTACAACGAACGAAGCATCGACGAAACTTCATTCTCTGTCTCTCTTTTCCATATCCTATAAACATTGAGCTTGAAGATACCTTCTCACAAGTCGAGAAAAAAACTCTGAACAAACAAAAAAACTCAACTCAAAGTCAATATCAAGAAAATCAAGAAACATGACTAAAGACAGGAAGATCGGAATCGCCATGGATTTCTCAGAGAGCAGTAAGAACGCACTGAAATGGGCGATCGAGAACTTAGCTGATAAAGGAGACACACTTTACATCATCCACACACTTCCAATCTCTGACAACGAATCTCGTAACTCCCTCTGGTTCAAATCCGGTTCTCGTAAGTCTTTTGATCCCCCGGTTTGGAAAGTTTCAGGTTTGGAAACGTCGGTTTAATCCCGGTTTAATTTGGTTTTGCAGCTCTCATACCGTTGGTTGAGTTTAGGGAACCAGAAATTATGGAGAAATACGGTGTCAAAATCGACATCGCATGTCTTGACATGCTCGACACTGGTTCGAGGCAGAAAGAGGTTTAAAAAAAAAAAACATTTCTTGATCAAAACACCCATTTTATTTCGTTTTTGGTTCTAATAATTGTTGGTTTGATTATTATAAATGTAATTAGGTTCATGTAGTGACGAAATTATACTTTGGAGATGCAAGAGAGAAGCTTGTTGATGCAGTTACAGATCTTAAACTTGATTCTATTGTCATGGGAAGCAGAGGACTTAGTGCTCTTCAAAGGTTTTTCTTGTTACTTACTTTATTTATTCAATAAATTCGATTTTTATCTATAATCATCTTTGCCAAAATGCCATTATTGTAGAGTATTATTGTATTTGTATACGAAATTAGAATTGGGGCGATAATAGTTAGGGAGATTGTTGATGATATAAACAAATGTTTTTGGTCCAAAAGACTGAAAAATATTCGTTACTTTCAAGACAATTGTCCAATTCTTTTTTTGGCTAAATGAAATTTTAATTTTTAGAGGTACAACAATTTAAATAAAAAATCTTCTTTTTTTTTTGTTTCTATGACAATTACTTCCTACCGAAAATGGATAAGGTCAGGGAGAGTGGACTATGTCTAGGTTTAGCTTTGGTTATTGTCTTTATCCCATAATTAAGAATAGAAACAAACTTAGAGTGTTTTTTTTTAATCTAATCTATGTTTAGACCCTTTTCAAAACAAGTTGTTTTTATTTATTCTTGAAATTTTCAACGGTTGGTATTTGTCATTATTTATCTTTACTATATTCTTTTTCAACCGTTAGTTTTTGGTTAATGAAGATATTTTTGTGTGTGTGTAAAATGACTAATTATATTGAAATATTTGAAACAGGATAATAATGGGAAGCGTGAGTAGCTTCGTGATTCAACATGCACCTTGCCCTGTCACCGTTGTCAAGGATAACGATTCTCACTAGGAAAAAATAAAAAAATCTGTCTTTATCTCATATGTGCTACCAAAAATAATCATCGCAAATTTATGCTTTTAAAAATAAAAGAACCTTTTTCTTGGTTGTATTTTGTATTTGAAACCATATCTATCCATACAAGAAATTCTATTAGTTTTTGATTTTCTAGCTAATTATTTCAAAGTGTTTTTGCTGGAATCACTCCATGTGATTGAGGCATGATTGTAGGATCCAAAGTGATTAAAATAAGTGATACGTTACAGAAAAATCACATGGGCAGTTGGATTCTTTCTCATTCACCATTGACTTTATGGAAACAAATATTATAATATTTCTGATGAACAATTCCACAGAGATCAAACTATTCTTTATTTGTTGTACTAACAATGTGGTAAATTCGTTTATTTGTTGTTAGCACGTCACCGTGGTGAAATAGTCTTGTTTTGAACTTTTTGGTCTAAAACCTTTCGGAACGTAAATCTTTTCTTCTGATAGCCTCCAATTAGATCTGCGTTTCTGGCCGGTGGCGGCGGGCTTTCTTAGCCGCGTCGTAGGTCCA